AATATCAAAGACAATTTTTAATATAACTCCGACTGGATTCGTCTGAAAGAAGAAAGTCATATACACCTAGGATGCAATGGGTGGTGACTAAAACGCAGCCTAATTTTCATTTTTGGGTGAACTAACCCTTTAACCACAAAAACAAACCTTAACCGGGTGATTAAGACTTTATCCGTTTCTGCCACGGGATGAAAGAATTAAAAATGTAATTGTGACTTTTTATCTCACAATTCAGATTTTTATCTTCGAAATTCTGAGAGAAGAATTCTTTTGAGATATAAACTCACAATTATGAGAAAAAAGTCAGAACTCCAAAATATAAATGATTTTTTTTTCAGACTCAGACTTTTCCTCACAAATTCTGAGTTTAATTCCATGGAATTAAAAATAAAAAAGTTAATTGCAACTTTTTTCTCACAATTGCTAGTTTATATCTCACAATTCCAACTTTTCTTCTCAGAATTGTGAATTTATCTACCTATCTATCTATCTATCTATCTATCTATCTATCTCTATATATATATATATATATATATATATATATAAGTCAGAAATGCGAGATGTTAACTTTATATTTCACAATTCTGATGAAAATTCCGAACTGTGAGATAAAAAGTCACAATTATCTTTTTTATTTTTATTCAATTTTTATTTTATTTTTTAGAAACAAGCTGGCTGAATGGCTGACTGGACATTATGCCACTTATTAAACGGCTGCTTACCAGATCAATTATATAAAGTTGTGAGCTTCATAATAATGTAAAATTCATAATTCATTTATATAACACATACAATATATATTATATAACATATACAATATTTGGCCATAGAATGCAGCAATTGATCTGTCAGAATCAAGTATTTCAGACCGCCGTGGAATAAGTTAGCTAGTTAGTAAGCTTTGACATTGTGTGCTGTTGTGTGTTGTTTAAAACGATTAAATAAAATAATCTGGTATAAAACAGACATCTAATTGTGAAAATAAATTAACTGAAAATAACAAACCCCCACCCCCAAATTCAAGCATTCACATTAATGCATGCAAGGTCAAATTGTCATGATTTGTTAATGGCAGCTACTTTAAGACTAAATTATTGTCAATTACAGCAGTGCCACCGCGGAAAGACTTTCTCAGATTATGTCTGAGAATTAGAAATGATCATTTACCAGGTACCCATCTAACTTTGGCTATGTTATGATTATTGTGACTTTGGATGCTACTCTTACGTGTCCGAGAGCACGACAGTGCGAGGGCCATTGGTGGGACACACCACACAACAGGCACACGGGGTCTCACCCCACTGCTGCCAAGCCACACCAGATATGTCCACCCCACGCCGTGCAAAATCCCCCACGATGAAACTAGTGCAGCAAACAGAGAGGTATTGCAGTGACCCATATGCACTACTGAGTGATTTGGGCAGGAAACATATAACAGGCTCAGAAAGCGTGCCACACTGAACTTTGAACCATACACCTTTAGTGCACCCTTTAAACCACTTTGAGCAGTTAGTATTTTTTTCGTTTTGATGTGATCTGCTGCGACAGCCGTCCTGTGAGCAAAGAGCTTCATAGTACTTACACACAAACTCGCACACAAACCTGTTCATATGCAGAATTGTACGGCTTCCTGTCGTCACACTGCTGATTACTACAGAAGCTGGAAAGGAGCATGCAGCATGCTCCAGAAGAAGAGAGATGTCAATCTTGTACATTTGAAAGTCATTCAAGATGAAGCTAGAAGAACAAATTAGCAAGCAAAAGTATGCAGTGTATGTAATCTAAAGTTGTGTGAGGGATAGGGAAGTGTATTTCCGCTGATATTGAAGTTGGGGAGTAAGAAAAGATGAAAATCCATCCAGCAAAGAGTCTTCAGTGTCACATGTTTTTTCAGAAATCATTCTAATATGATGATTTGATGTTCAGGACATTTCTTATTATTAATAACGTTGAAAGCAGTTGAGCTACGTCATAATTTTGTGGAAACTGTGATACACTACCATTCAAAAGTCTGGGAAAAGTAAGATTCTTTTAAAATAAATTAATACTTTTATTTAGCAAAGATGCATTCAATTAATCAAAAGTTACAGTAAATATATTTATAATGTTACAAAACATTTATTTTCCAAATAAATACAAGATTCAAAGAATCCTGAAAAAAAAAGATTATTGGTTTCGGCAAAAATATTAAACAGTGCAGCTGTTTTCAACATTGATAATAATAATAATAAATGTTTCTTAAGTGCCAAATTAGCATATCTGAATCCCCAAGCAGAGACAAAACTGTGCACGTGTTTGATGCATTTCCTCCACTCTGCCATCTCTGAGACAAACACCTACCAACCAGCTGCACGTTATTTTATAACACCTGTGATGCAACATTAACTACAGTGCTATAGCAAGATGCTCTGTATGATCAGACTGGTTATGCGTTTGGAACGCTAACGCAAAAAGTGCATCAAGAAATGAATAGTACGTTTATCAGAATTTCTCACCTGGTATCAGTATCTTCTTCCGGGTATTTATCCACAACATTTATGATATCCAGACACACCAACCCAATGCTGAGTATCTTTTTGTCTCCCATATTCTCCCTGAAGAAAGAAACACTGAGCTAATTAATTCTGAAGGATCATGTGACACTGAAGACTGGAGTAATGGCTGCTGAAAATTCACAGGAATAAATTGCAATACATATAATAACATACAATAGAATAATAAATAACAACAGAAAACAGTTATTTTAAATTGTAAGAATATTTTTCAATATGGCCGTTTTTACTGTACTATACTTTTGATCAAATAAATAGCCTTGCTGAAAAATAATCTATAAAATTATATATACTGCCATCTCTGAGACAAACACCTACCAACCAGTTGCACGTTATTTCATAACACCTGTGATGCAACATTACCTACAGTGTATAGCAGGATGCTCTTTATGGTCAGACTGATTATGCGTTCGGAACGCTAACGCAAAAAGTACATCAAGAAATGATTTGCAATTATACAATATTATCAGAATTTCTCACCTGGTATCAGTATCTTCTTCCGGGTATTTATCCACAACATTTATGATATCCAGACACACCAACCCAATGCTGAGTATCTTTTTGTCTCCCATATTCTCCCTGAAGAAAGAAACACTGAGCTATGGACTTCAGACGAAAGGTCATTACGTTACACTGTTCCGCACAGGAGCAGGAGAGCGTTTATCTTTCAGAGAATGGGAGAGCGTAAACATGGGCACGAAGTCTGACGGCTTTTACCGAGTGTGGCCGAAAGTGTCAGAACGACAATTTCCGATTTTTATCGAGTGCAGCCGAAACTGTTTCCGTTACGTTTTTGTGGCAAGTTCAATATTGTGTATCTTTTGATCACAAATCATGCAAATGTGAATCTCACAGATGAAGAGGTAAAAGGTAAGAACATCTTTTTATGTACTCTACAATTTTAATGGGAATTATTTACAATTTATTTACCTGTTGAAGTCTCAAAGTATAACCCAGACAGGGTTATAGGTGAAAAAAAATCGTATTATTTTATATAATATTTAATTTCATTTACTCGGTTTTATATCTATTGCATGCTTTTACTAATCATACATGCTCTTCATTTGCAGGGGTGCTTGTTCTACTGTATATCTCCAGCTAAAGAACATGCTCTCTGCCTGCAGATGGCGCTCAGCTGCAATGCAAATGTCAACAATGTTTCTAACTCAGGGAAGCCACTGCTTGTGTTCTCCTGTGAGAATGCAAAGGACTGTGAAGACCTCTGCATTAGCATTTTGGAGAAAGGAGCTGATCCAAATGCAATAGATCAGGTTTGAGATCTGTCCTAAAATCATAGTTCAGATTAATGTCTCTTATATTTTTGACCCAACAAGAATCACAATTTTAATCATAGATGATTCAAAGATCTCTTTTACAAAGATTTAATAGTACAATAACTTTTATGGCTCATATAGTATGATATAGTGATAATATGAAGCTCATAGTAGGATGAAAAAAAAGAACACCTAAAAATGAATTCAGAGCAATTTGGTGCAGTTGCTAATATTTATATGGCCAAAAGTATGATGAAATTTTGATTACTTGTAATGTAAATCAATGAGATCTTTATAACAGTGTCACAGACTACTTACATAAAATGCATATAAATATCAATCGTCACTCTCTCTCCCAATAATATTCTTTGTAAGATGATATTTAAATGTTTCGCTTTATGGTCAAAGTGCTATAGTTTTTATTGTGGGGGGCAAAACATAATAGAATACAGTGATGACTGAGAGATGGAAAAAAATGTTCCTTAATATGTATCATATTTGATACTCACATTTTAACATGAATTTGAAATACACAACCTGATGAGGGACGTTTTTAGAATAGTACTAAAAGGCCCTTTAATTGCTAAAAAAAGTAGTTACTATCGATCAGATGACAAAAAGCATGTAGTTATTTGTGTGTACAACAGGTTTTTCAGCGAAGTATTGGACATATTGATAATTTGGAGAAAATGTGGATTTTGATGGAGTTGAATCAGAATATTTGTCATGTTTTGTCTCCCCAAAGGTGACACGATGCTCGGCGCTCATGGAGGCATCTAAGGCTGGTGCTGTGAAGCTTGTCAGAGCCATTTTACAAAAAGGAGGGAATCCTGACTTGCTTGATCAAGAAGGATGGTGTGCTGCCCATTTTGCTGCAGAAGGAGGTTTCCTTGAGGTTATTCCATGGCATTCTGAATTTGCACAAAATTTGCCATTGTTTAACTTGCAACAAAGCAATGGCCACAAAGCTGCCCTGAAGGAGATCAGAAAAGCAGAGATGCTCCACCATGCTTGCCATGCAGGTCGTGTAGACATTACCATCATGCTGGTGCAATCTGGAGCCGTGGTGGATGCAGTGGCAATGAATGGAGCAACTCCACTCATGAGAGCTATTGAAAGCTGTCAATTCAGCTGTGTAGAGTATCTCATCAAAGCTGGAGCCAATGTCGTGGCAAAAACAAGAGAGGTGCTGGGTTTGATATTGAAATACTATTTTGATTGGTTTTGGTATACTATTGTTCAAAGGTGTAGTGTCAGTAAGATTTAAATGAATTTTTGAAAGAAGTCTCTTATGCTCACCAAGGATGCATTTATTTGATTAAAAATACAATAAAAACGGCAATATTGTGAAATATTATTACGACTTAAAATAACTGTTTTCTATTCTAATAAGTTTTTTCAAATGTAATTTATTTCTGTGATGCAAAGCTGAATTTTCAGTGTCATTACTCCAGTCTTCAGTGTCATATGATCCTTCAGAAATCATACTAATATGCTGATTTGCTGCTCAAGAAACATTTATTATTATTGTTGTTGAAAACAATTGTGCTGCTTAATAATTTTGTGGAAACTATGATACATTTTTTCAGGATTCAGGAATAGCTTTTATTTGAAGTATTTGAAACAGTAGTGTATGTCTACATCTACTTGTATAATTTTTCCCATAAAAAAAAATAAATAAATACGTTTGGTCACAGAGCAAAATTGCTTGGATATCGCTATAAATTATGGCAATGTGAGAATCATTGGCTTGTTCATGGCCAAATTCAACAGAAAGGACAAAGAAAGGAAACCAGAACCAACATTAAAAACACCCTCTTCAGCACAAGAAAAGGTGAATGGGAAAAATTCCTTTCTTTCTATAGCTAGAGTTGGGATTTTTAATGATTTTTAATTCTGTTTTCTGTAGATGGGTATTCGGTCACCAGCACGATCAGTTTCAGCAGCTGTGAAAAAAGACCTGAGAGACAGTATCATAGTTAAGAAGTTACCCAAAGTTCACCATTAGAACTGGCACCAACAAGTCTGACATCAGATTTGTTCCCAAAACCGTAAGACATTAAAACACATAGAAAGACACATAGATAGATAGATAGATCAGTGTCATATGATCCTTCAGAAATCATACTAATATGCTGATTTGCTGCTCAAGAAACATTTATTATTATTGTTGTTGAAAACAATTGTGCTGCTTAATAATTTTGTGGAAACTATGATACATTTTTTCAGGATTCAGGAATAGCTTTTATTTGAAGTATTTGAAACAGTAGTGTATGTCTACATCTACTTGTATAATTTTTCCCATAAAAAAAAATAAATAAATACGTTTGGTCACAGAGCAAAATTGCTTGGATATCGCTATAAATTATGGCAATGTGAGAATCATTGGCTTGTTCATGGCCAAATTCAACAGAAAGGACAAAGAAAGGAAACCAGAACCAACATTAAAAACACCCTCTTCAGCACAAGAAAAGGTGAATGGGAAAAATTCCTTTCTTTCTATAGCTAGAGTTGGGATTTTTAATGATTTTTAATTCTGTTTTCTGTAGATGGGTATTCGGTCACCAGCACGATCAGTTTCAGCAGCTGTGAAAAAAGACCTGAGAGACAGTATCATAGTTAAGAAGTTACCCAAAGTTCACCATTAGAACTGGCACCAACAAGTCTGACATCAGATTTGTTCCCAAAACCGTAAGACAGATAGATAGATAGATAGATAGATAGATAGATAGATAGATAGATAGATAGATAGAAAAATGGAAAATTTCTGATGTGTTTTGCGTTATAGCTAACAGTCCACAGCACACTGAGCAGGAAAAGAGAATACAGTTCTTCATACACTTTAACAAGAGCATCCCAGAGCTGAATGGGATTGAACGACTGGGGAGGAATAAATTAAATGTCTCTGTGCAATAGCTGCTTTGCATTCAGAGCAACTGTCTGTCTTTTAATTTCTGACAAATTAGTCGTTCCCAGACTTGTTCGTTTTGTCATTTGAGAAAAAATGAAAGATAGGTAAAGAAGGACCACAATATAAATCCCTTTTCTTGATAGTGGATAAAAATAACCTTTCATAGTCAGTCAATGAGATGCACAGTGGTCACCTTAGTTTGCTGCCATTTGGGATACTGCTATATAAACCCCTGACTGAGAGCACCACCTGCTCTATAAGCCTTTTTCCTTAATGCTTCTCCTGTGACTTTGGCTCTAATCACCAACCCCCACTGAACACAGGAAAAGGAGATGACAGTCACATATTTCAAGGTAACACATTAATCATTGTAGGTGATTGTGTCATTCTGTTTGATGTATGCATATACACATGCATGTTTTACATCACATTGGCCAGTAGGGGGCAGTCAGATACAATAATGTATTACGCATAATTTTAACTGCAGACAATGTTTTGGTTTACAAGAACACAAGAATAATAGTCTATTTATATGTTTAAAGATTAACACGAGAATTTTGTCTGGATGTGTTACAGGGAGAAACACTGACAACTTTATTTTTGAATGTAGATGTAAAATATTGTGTACAAGAAACAATGTGCACAGCACAGAGGTGTCCTACTAGGATGTGACCCTGTTTAGTAGTGTTTAAACGAATAGTTCACCCAAAAATGAAAGTTTGCTTAAAATGTACTCAGTTGAGTTTGTTTCTTCATCAGAACAATGGATCGTCTGCAGTGGTGCCATCAGAATGCATCAATAATCCATAATAACACGTTCTCCAGTGAAAAATACTTTCTTTCTTATTTGTTTAAAACTGTTTGGACTATTGTCGCTTGTAACGTGATCTGTGATATTTATCTTCTAATTGAATATTACAGATTAATGGACTCATATTTTAGAAGCAGTGGTTTGGAGTTAAAAATGTCTTGCTGGATTTGTTTCTTACAAACATGCAGCTTTTCACTTCTCAAGATGTTAACTGATGGACTGGAGTCCCATCTATATTCTGGATAAGGTGAGTACATTTTCAGCAAATCTTCATTTTTCTTTAATAAGACTCTAGAAATCAAACAGGACACTCTGTGTTAAATATGGAATGTGTTAAACGCCCCAGCAACTACACAGCAAGTTTTGCATGGAAAATGTAGTTTTAAATGTTGTTCATCTTCATTGAATGTAAATTCTGCAAAGCTCAATAGAAATTCACAACACCTGCACATTGTTGTTCCCAGGCTCTGACTCGGCACATTCACATGAAAGGAGACACAGTGGAGTCAGCTGGAACTCTATCTGTCATTCCATTACTGTGCAACCGGATGTGATGATAGTTCAAGTGGCCGTTGCAGAAAGGACAAGACACTGAAGATGTCAATTCTTCTGCGCTACAGACAGAAACAGGGCAATCAATGGACAGGTTGATTTCAATATTAAATCAATTCAGTCTGTTAATTCTAGACTGTTTAATAAGCGCAAGGCCATAAAAGGATGAGGAAATGATAATCGGCTCCAGTGCAGGAGGTAATTGCCTTGATGATGTGGCACTCACAGACACACTGACATCAGCTCCTAATCTTTAGCTCCAAAGGAAAAAGGAAGAGGAGGGGGAAAGGAGAAAGGTGTACCAGAAATCAGGAGGGAGGAATATTTAGAAAAGCAGATGACAAGTATCACTAAGTCCAAATGCTATTGTATGACATTGTTTTTTAGGACACAATTAGTTTTAAATAAATTGAAATGTATTTATAATTCCAGTCTTGAATGCTGATTGCTCAAAACAGCATTCTAGTGACTAGGTTATTTTCATAACCTTATATCATACAGTGTGATTTCATAACTCACAACTGTGATTTTATTTCACATAATCGCAATTTTATATCTCGCGATTATGACTTATTTCTCACAGTATGACTTTATATTTCACATTTTGAATTTCTTTTACTATATTTAACTACTGCCTTTTTCATTTTTAATCCGAGGTGCACTCTTAAAAGTAAAAGTTCTTATTGGCATCTGTAGTTCCATGAAGAACTTTTACATCCAAGTACTCTTAAAATTAAAGTTTTTTATTGGCATCTATGGTTCCATGAAGAACCTTTAACATCCATGGAACCACTGAAGGTTCTTTATAGTGGAAAAGGTTCTTTAGATTGTTAAAATGTTCTTGAATAGGGAAAAATGACTGGAAAAATTGTTCTTCTAAGAACTGTTCTCTGAGAAGTTCTTTGGGGAACCAAAACTGGTTCTTCTACGGTATCACTGTGAAAACCAATTTTGCACACTTTATTTTTCCGAGTGTAGAACCTTTCCATATGACGAAAGGTTTTTTTTTTTTGTGGTCGTAAAAGGTTCTTAAGAGTTCTAAAATCATCATCATGGAATCAAATATGGAACCTGTATTTTAAAGAGTATGGAAACAGGCTTTCACAGTAAACAGTATTGTGCAGTAAATTCTAGTATTGTCCATTCTGTGCCCTTAATATTGCACAACTTCTCATATATTTTGGTTAATCCTATTATGGTCTAAAATACCAAATTGTAAGAGACCATCATAATTAATGCTTAATTTGCATATTAAAGTTAGTTGATCCTATCTGACCTCTTCGGGTACTTGAGAGTTAGTCATTAAGTCTCCATGCTGCTGTAATATGCTGGATGTCATACACTGGATGTCATACACATGTGAATTATTAAGATGCGTATATGATATTTAGAAACGTAGCTCTCTGTAAATGTGCCTCTTATTATTATTTCACATGAATTTTCTCCTATATAATTATCTACATCTACAGCAGTGTGATTAAGCCTACACAAATATGGGATATTGTTTCTGCTGCTTATTCACAGTTCAGCGTGCAATCATCGATGGTAGGCAAATGATGAGGTTAATGACAGATTTCCCACTTTTTTTTTTTTTTTACCATGAGCAACATAGGATAAGGGCTCTTTCTGATGTGTTGTGGAGGTGGGTTCTGGCAGTGCTAATTGACAAGATCAAATAAATGAGCTTTAATTGGTAACAGTGTGGGTCCTGTAAATTTGCGCTTGTGTCAAAGAATTCAGGATTAATCAGCACTCGCACTGCTAGTGCGAACAGAAAGGAGCTGCAATGGTATGTAAATCACATCTCATAATAAAAATGAAATTCACAACCGAATCTGAATTTAAATGTCATCAAGATATCAATATGCCAGACAAAATAAGCAAATAACTTCATTCTGGATGATAGCGGCATCTTCAGACAGTACAAACGAGACTTGGGTGCTAAAGACGTGCATTTTTTTAGCCGTAATAATCTTGTAAGTGTAAATCAATATATTTAGCAGGGTTTCCTGTTTGTTGGATGTTGCACTAACTAGCATTACTGTCTCATTTGTATGTGTTGAGTCAATATTGGCGCCTTCCAGCAGACCTTTTCTCCTCTGCTGTCTAACAGGGTGTGTGTGGTTTGTTGTACAGTGCATGTTTAAGCAGTCGAACTGCTCTTTGTCTCTTCGCCGGACAGTATTTTATCTCAGAAGATTCTTGACCTTCATCTGTCCTGCTGAATTAAGTATCCACATTTTATGTCTTGATTTGTTTTAATGTAGTGAAGCACTTTGCCAGATTATTTTGTACTACTAGACTACTGTTTTTTCTCTCTCTTTCAGGTCCTCCTTTGCCAACGTCAAATACAATAACCTTACCTAACACATCCTCTTCCACAGAAACACACACAAATACAGTCCAAAAGCCATTAAACAATCAAATAAGTGCTATTGATCCGTGCCCCTTATCTGAATCTGTAAGTCTCTATAGCTAAAGCACTTTTATCTGATCTTGCTCCCATTAGAAGATCAGGGAGACTTGATGCTTGGGGCAAGAAACAAACAAGTCATTTTTTCATCTTTTAAAAATATTGGAAATACAAAAAAGCCATCCATTTCAAAACACACTGTAAATATAGCTCACATTTACACTGGTCTCAACAAGGGGAACATCTAGGGACTTCTATTCCACTTCATATTTTACTCTGAGAGCATTTTGAAT